GTGACTTTAAAAAGCCACCTGCACTGCCTGGCCCAGTTTCCCTCTCTGAAACCAAAGCAGCATCAGGGAGCACTGCGAGGCTCTGCTTCATTAATGGCTTTTAGAGGAAATCTCTATGAAATGCTGCTGCTGAAATGCAAGATTAGATTTAATCTTCCTGAAAACTTCCTGTTCTTTCCATCTCTCACAAGGGAATGCTGTGTTTTGGTGTTGTGGTTTTTAAAAAAATTTCTAACTTTTTGATGCCTTCAACCCAAAAGGCAGCAGCAGTCAGGGTAAATGAATCTAATTTAAGCCTAATTTAGTTTTAATTTGAGGTGTAGCTGAATTTATCTTCAGTAATTCTGATCACCAGAAACCACTCACTGACACTTAAAGCAAATTTCTCTGTGGTCATCAGTAACCAGACTTCAAATATGAGTAAATGAACAGGGAAGACTAATTAAGAGATATTAAGACCTCAGAATCTTCACTCTTGATTGATTTTGGTGCATCACTGATGCTGTTTGTGGGTGGAGAAAAATTTATCTACTTCTGAAAGCCCAGCATTAAAGATCTATTGCTGTGTGAGCAGGCAATAATTCCTGAATCCCTGGAATTATCTCAACAACTGACTTTTAATGTCACTCTCAAAGGACAGCTCAGTGCTTTGGAACCATTGCCTTGACTCACACAGGAAGAAAATAAAATGATCTTTTAATAAAATATTGTGTTTTCAGTTTATGGGCTGGGAAGTCCTGATTCCAAGTATTTTTCATGAGAAAGAAGTGTGAACAACACAATACATGAAATAATTACCAGGCTGAGCTTTGTATATCTTGCAAAAAATACTAAAGGGCTCTCAAGGAGGTGAAACCCCAGTGAGTTTTCTGCTGGGATGAGGATGTCAGCTGAGCTGCACTGAGATACACACAGGAAAAGCTTTTCAGTTCCTGCTTTCTTTAAAACTTTCTGCTCCTAAGATCAAAGTGGGTCACTGTGCTGCGTGGTGGCACAGGAGGGAGGTGAATTTGTGTCCTGCTGGGCCGTTTCCCTGCCTAGGAGTGGCTGAGTGGGTCAGCAAGCCCCAGGTGCCCAGTCTGCCGAGGAGGAGAGGGCACTGGGAGGGTGGTCAGGCACTGGGAAAGGTTTTCCCCAAACCTGGAAGTGTCCAAGGACAGAGCTGGGAGCACCCTGGGATAGTGGAAGGCAGCAGGGTGTGAACAAGATGATCTTTAAGGTCCCTTCCACCCCACCCAAAGCGTGACTCTGAACTGAGACCTGGCTGTGCTCCATTGTCCCCTCTGTGTCTCCAAGAGGGGAGGAGAGGAGAGCAGTTTCAAACCACAAATCTAACATGAAACAAACCCAAGCCTCAAAGACCCTCATGGGTCACGTTCCTGGCAGTTGCTGCCCTGCTGTTAAATTCAAACAAGTGCTGAGTGCTTATTCCCAGAGCTGGAGAATTCCAGTTGCTTTTCCCCAAGGTTGTCTCTGCTGAGTGCTGGTGAGGTTCTGTTTGATAGAAACACCAAGCACACATTTAATTTCCTAATTGCAAACCATCAGGCAGATGTGTAATTAGAGGCAATGTAAATATGTAATTATGGGCTGGTGGGAAATGTGTATTATTTACTAGAGAAGTGATAATGGCTTTTCCAGATGCTTGGCAGGGAGGTCTGCTCTGAGGATTGTCAGTGGAAGGGTCACTGCAGAAATTCTAACAGGGAAAATCAAGGACATACAACAGAAGGAATGAAACAAACTCTGGAGACAGGAGAAGGTGAAGAGGATAAACTGGGAATGGTCACTCCCTGCTCTCCAAACTTTGAGCACTGCTTGATCTGTTCAGTGGCTTCTACAACACAAAGCCACATTTGGATATTCTGGAGACCAAAACTTTCAGAGATCTAAAAAGCAATCAGATAAATATCTAACTTGCTGTGAGACAAAAAAGGAATGTGGCAGCTTGGTCTGGCCCTGCATCCCACGGGAGCCTTTGGGATCCTTGTTGGACGTGGCACAGCCTGGCAGGGCTCTGGTTGGAGTCTGGGTGCCTGTTTCTGCTCCAAGATGTTGTGCAGGTGTCAGACAGAACCTGAAGTGCAACTTTTATAAAACCTGGAGCATTTCCTTCTTCTGAGAGATGAAACAGTTCTGAGGATCATGTGGCTGTCTAAGAACATCTGGGCAAATCATCTCCTTCCTTCCCTGTTCCCACTGAGCAGCAGCCAAATGTCAGCTGAGAGAGAGACAGAGCCAATTCTTCAGCTGAGGACAAGCCTCAGGACATTCCTCCTTTAAATTTCTTCTGGCCAGAAATGCCTTTTTAAAAAAAGATAGTTCAATTAAAACCAGATGAAAGGCAGATGTCTGTTGAGGGCTATTTGATGTGCTGCTTGGGACTGCAAGGACTGACTCAGAACCAGCACAGAGGAGTAGGAACCAGACATGCTTTAAGATTTGTGGGGTTTCAGCTCTAAGGAGCCATTCATTTTTCTGGCTCATACATTAACATACTTAGATAGGATTATTTTTTTTTTAACAGAACTTTCCCTTTCATCAGTTTAATATCTGTCACATAGGGCTTGGAAATGCTGTGCCAGAGAAGGATTCAGAACAACAGCTGCTCAGTGCCCTGTGCAAATCAGAGCAGTTTTTAGGGACACGTTGTACAAAGGCTTTAGAAATCAAGGCGAGACTGGAGCGTTCTAAAAGAGCCCCTCCAGATAAGCTGATGTGAAATGTAAATTCTGAAAAATGTGCAGTCAGGGACAACACATCAGCCCAATGTCATTTCATTGAGAAAGCTTTTTTGTCTGCCTCCTCATAACTCATGGGAGGCACGGCGCAGAGCTACGCACGAGGAGAGGTGGAGTAGGATTCCAGCACATAACTCTGGGTAGTAGAGGACAAGTAGGTGTCTTGGCAGGGAGAATTAGTAGAGCAGATCTTGTTTGGTGCTCCCACAAAGCTGTTTTTGTGGTGGTGCCATCCCTGCAGGTGTCTGAGTGCAGCTGGCCTGTCCGGCAGGCGCCCAGCCTGCACAACCTCTACGCTGTCTGCAAGAACATGCACAACTGGCTGCAGCAGAACCCCAAAAACGTCTGTGTCATCCACTGCATGGTGAGTGCACCCACAGCAGCCAGCAACAGCTGCTCATGGAGTGTCTGGAAGATGTGTGCCAGGATGGGGACAATTCCTGAAAGAGGAGGGATGGGATGGGATGGCATTGACCCAGAGGAAGGGACATCATCACCCAAAGCTCAGCTGGAAGAGGGTCACTGAATGAGAAGCAGGAATGCAAAGCAAGAGAGGTCAAAATCATGTTCCAGGAGAAAGGTTTGAATTTCACCCAAGAGCTGTCAGCTTGCTGTGACTTATTCAGGCTGCCCAGAGCAGCTGTGGCTGCCCCTGGATCCCTGGCAGTGCCCAAGGCCAGGCTGGATGGGGCTTGGAGCAGCCTGGGACAGTGGGAGGTGTCCCTGCCTATAGCAGGGGGTGCACTGGATGGACTTTAAGGTTCCTCCCAGCACAGACCATTCTGTGATTCTGTGATTTGCATTTTAATCTAAGCAGTCACAGGAGAAAATGCAGCCTTTGGAGTGAAGGGGGCTGAAATTGGGCAGAAAACACAGAGCTGGGAATTCTGTCGAGTTGTGAAATGGAGACTGTTGAAGTCTCTTGCCATCAGGAGAGGTCAGGCCTGGCTGAAGGAAACCTCCAGAGGATTTATTCAGCACTGGGCAATGCTGTGCTGTGTGAGGGTAGTGTGATCCTGATCACTCCTAATTTACTCCATCCAACCTTTCCTGCTGACAGCAGTGCCCAAAAGCAGAGTTTTGCTTTGCTCCTGGAGCCTAAATTAAAGCAGGAGGCTGTCAGCCCTGATCAGCAGAAACTGGGAGGAGTGGAGGAAATGACTGATCCCAAATTGCACAGAGCTCCCATGTGAGCCTGGCATTTCTGCCTCTCACAGCACAGCCAGCAGCTCCAGGACATAAATTCCCTTCAAACAGAGAGAAAGATGCACTTGATGCCTCCAATCCTGGAAATCCAACTCGAAAATCCAATTCCTTTCCTGTCCTTTGGGCAATGGATATCAGGATAATGTGATAAAAGACAGGGAGTCCTTTCCAACACTTTCTAACAAGGCTGCAGAAACCCACTTAGTTTATATGAACCTGAGAGATCTTGCCAGAAACACCTGACAGGGTAAACTTGAAAAAAGCAAACAGCCTGTTCATGTCAGCAGGTTCTTGGGGTCAGGATCAGCTCCAGTACAGAAAATCCTATAGAAAATGGCTGGAATGCCTAAAGGGGGCCTGAAAAAACCAATTGCAAGGAGCAAGAGTGGTGAGGCCTTTGAGGGGTTGTGGATTCCCCATCCCTGGAAGTGTTCAAAGGGGTTTGAAGCAATCTGGGATCGTGGAAGGTGTATATCAGGAACCCAGGGCACTGGGAATACATTAATTTTCTCCTGCTCTTCCTACATTTTTGATCAATGTGACTCAGCAAACTTTCCCCCAGAATCACCTTAAAAAATCCCATCAGGAGCAATCTGTAAGCTCAGAGCTGAGGAGGTGTTTGGGTGAGGGAGCCTGGGGCTGGATTTTTTGTTTGTTTATCCTTTTCCAGGATAAATTTCTATTAGAGGACTGCCCGCAGCTGTAGGATGGGTGCAGTCTGACCCCTGTGGTCACTCCCAGGCCTATGTTTGAAATAATTATAGAATTACAGCTGGGGAGCAGCCATGAAACACCAACATTTGCAGCCAAAATGCTCTTGTGGGTTTTTCAAACAAGTGTAAACCACCCTCAGCTTTGGCTTCTCCCTGGGTTTTATCTTAGCTTGGATTGCTCACTGAAGTCCTGGGTGTTGAACAAATGACACAGAACCCAAAATACCTCATAATAACTCATCACCTTGTGGTCTCAACCCTAGTCTTTCTGGATAAATTATATTTTGTGATTTCAGGAGGAGTGGAGAGCTGGAATTTAAAGGATCTCTCTGATACTCACAGTTTTTCTTCTCTGACCCTTTCCTTGCCAGGACGGTCGTGCAGCCTCAGCAGTTCTGGTCAGTGCAATGTTCTGTTTCTGTCACCTCTTCTCCCATCCTGGCCCTGCTGTGCAGCTGCTGAACACAAAGAGACCTGGAATTATACTGTGGCCATCTCACAGGAGGTACAGTACCCTGGCTCAGCACTGTGAGCTCCATTCCTCCTGCTCAAAGCTGCCCAAAGACCTGGCACGTGTGTTTTGGCCCCTGGGCTCAGCCAGGGTGATCCCACAGTGTTCCTCAAAACTGAGAGGGGATCAGTTCTGAGACAGAGCTGTGAAGCTGCTCCTGCTCTGAGCAGAGAGCAGGTGGTCTTCAGATCTTCCAACCTGAATTATTCTCTTATTTGACATGTCTCTGCTCATTGCAGAGGGTGGGATTAGATCACTGCTAAAGGTCCTTCCAGCCCAACCACCCTATGCTGAACCTGTGGTTAACAGGGCCCTGGAGAATCCCTCTCCTGTGCCAGCTGCATCCTCAGAGAAACAGCACTGCAAGTGCAGTTCTGTGCCAGCTGCATCCTCCCAGAAACAGCACTGCAAGTGCAGTTCTGTGCCAGCTGCATCCTCCCAGAAACAGCACTGCAAGTGCAGTTCTGTGCCAGCTGCATCCTCACAGAAACAGCACTGCAAGTGCAGTTCTGTGCCAGCTGCATCCTCACAGAAACAGCACTGCAAGTGCAGTTCTGTGCCAGCTGCATCCTCAGAGAAACAGCACTGCAAGTGCAGTTCTGTGCCAGCTGCAAGGATGTTGGAGCACATGGAAACTCCAGTCCCGGGCCTCTGAAAGAATGGCACTGCTGCTGGATTTTGAGGCAGATTTTGAGCGTGAAATGAAAGAAATGGGGATTTCAGCCCTGGTTTTCTCTGCTGCAGGTACATAGGGTACATTTGTGACCTAATAGCAGACAAACCTGTCATCCCCCACTGCAAACCACTCACGATCAAGTCAGTCACCCTCAGCCCCGTCCCCTGCTTCAACAAGCAGCGCAACGGCTGCCGGCCCTTCTGCGACATCCTCAGCGGAGAGACCAGGATCCTCACCACTTCCCAGGAGTATGAGAGGATGAAGTGAGTTCTGGGACCCCCTGCCTCCCTCTGGAGCTGCATGCAGCCACTTCCACTTTGCTGGGGGATATCTGAGCTGCAGATTGCCTGGCTGCTGATAAATGAGGATATTCGCTGAGAGTTAGTGCCTGAGGTTGAAATAAATGGCCAGAGGGAGTCTGAGGTTGGCAGCAGTGGGACAAATGCACAGGCATCAGGATCTGAGGTTGGTAGGGATGGGATAATCACAGACATTAGGACCTGAGGTTGGCAGGGTGGGATAACTGCACAGACATCAGGATCTGAGGTTGGTAGGGATGGGATAATCACAGACATCAGGATCTGAGGCTGGCAGGGATGGGATAACTGCACAGACATCAGGATCTGAAGTTAGCAGGGATGGGATAATCACAGACATTAGGAGCTGAGGTTGGTAGGGATGGGACAAATGCACAGACATCAGGATCTGAGGTTGGCAGGGGTGGGATAATCACAGACATCAGGATCTGAGGTTGGCAACAGTGGGATAATCACAGACATCAGGATCTGAGGTTGGCAGGAAGTGAGATATCTTCCTAGAGTTAATCCAGTCCTCTGTTGGTTCCTCCTGTGGAGTGGGATATCTTCCTAGAGTTAATCCAGTGCTCTGTTGGTTTCTCCTGTGGAATATTTTTGTTCTAACCAAGCAGAACACTGAATGTTCCTCCTTGCTTGGCCTGAAGGAGGTGAGAGCTTTGATGTGGACACGTGGTGGAAGGGAGTTTAATCCTGGTTTTCTTCCCCTCCAAGAGAATACCGTGTGCAGGAAGGGAAGGTGCTGATCCCACTGGGAGCCACTGTCCATGGAGATGTTGTTGTCTCTGTCTACCACATGAGATCGACCATCGGGGGACGCCTCCAAGCCAAAGTAGGAGCTGGTTTCACTTCTCTTGTGTGGGGGACTAAGAGCTGGCTAAAATGGAATCAACATAGTTTCCTTGAGGATGTATTTAAAACTTGAATATTCAAGCTGCTGGGTGGGCAGTGAGTATTTTCCTCCTCTCCACTCATTGTTGGTGCCCTTTGCTGTGTAGATGAAGTTTCCCTGAGACCTCTACTCCAAGTGAAATGGTATTATTTTTTTTTTTGGGACACAAGCCTGTTGCTCCGATGTATTCATTTGGAACAGCTTCATTTCATTGCAAAATTGATAAGCAGACCCCAGAAATAAAGAGAAGCAGGGAAAGAAGGCCTGTTTCTGAAGGTTTTCTGCTGTATGGAGGCTGCAGCAGCAGGGTTGAAGGCAGTTGGAAATATTTGGAATATTTGGGAATATTGAGAAGGAAATATTTCCTGTAGAACAAGCAGAATTAATTCAGTTACGCAGCAGCCAAGATTAGGGTAGACTTAACTAACTCCCATATTTAAGCCCTTGTTCAGTCTGGTTCTCTCTGCTTTTTTTTTCTTTTCAGATGACCAACACACAAATATTCCAAATTCAATTTCATACTGGATTCATAGCCCTGGGAACAACCACTCTCAAATTCACCAAGTGAGTGTTTGAAGCTGAGCATTTATCAAACCTGATGCATAAAAGCCTGATGAAGGCTGAGGGAGAACAGTCACAGAGGAAATATGAAAAGCATGAATGTACTGAAAGCCTTTTTATAGCTTTCCAGAAATATTCTTCCCTTTTCAACTGGACCACTCTTGTCCCCTTTAGGCCTGAGCTGGATGCCTGTGACTCTCCAGACAAATACCCTCAGCTCTTTCATGTTATACTGGACATAGAAATACAGTCTGCAGACAGACAAACTGAATTAACTCCCCCATGGGAGAACTTCACAACAAAAGACATCAATCCCTCTATTCTCTTCTCCTCCCACCAGGAGCACCAGGACACTCTTGCTTTGGCAGGTAAAGGCTGCATGGATTTGTTCCCTTCCCATGATTTCTTCATGCTGAGCTGGGTTTTGTTTCATCCCACCTCTCTGGTGCTCTGTGCTGCAGGTAGAGGTGCCACGGATTCCCCCCAGGATAACATCAGGAATGTTGGGCAGAGTGCATTCTTCTCCTCTCTCAGCTGGCAAGGTAGGCAAGGCTTGGTCTTCAGAGCCAAATCAGCTCCAAAGAACACAAACAACTCCTGTTCCCCAGGCTGGAGCTGGAGTGAGGCTGAGGGATCCCACTGTAGCATCAGATCACAGAGCTGGGCACTCCGGGTGCTGCCATGGAGTGGGAATTCCTTTCCTACAGCATCAAACTGTGCTCTGTGGGACCATTGTTGACACAGCTCTAGGGTGAACCTTCACCCGAGGCCTCCTTTGTGCTAAAACTTGAGATAAATAAGCCCTGATGAGAAAATTTAGGTTAATCTTGGCAAAGGAATCATGGGATCATTTAGGTTGGAAAAGACCTTTAAGGTCATCAAGTCCATTCACCAGCACTGCCAAGGCCACCACTGACCATGTCCCCAAGTGCCACATCCTCCTTGGATGGGGACCCAGCTGTGCCAGGGCTGCAAAACTCTTTTGGGGAAGAAATTTGCCATCTTTTATTTTAAAGAGCAAAATTATTTTAGCCAAATGCTGCTGTGCTATTCTCAGCTTTCTGTTCTGCTTGTAAGCTGATTTTTACAGGACCTTTGTGATGACCAAACTAACAGCTGCCTAATTTTATTTTCAATCATCATTTAGATCAGAAATCTGACAAAAGTAGCTCTCACCCCACCTCAGAGGATCGAGCAGCGTTGGTGCATGAGGAAAGCGAACAGTCAGATGACGAACTCTTGTCCCTTTCCAGTCAGCACAGTAATGCCAGCGGTGACAAGCCCCACGGGACACCCAAACACAGCAAAAAGCAGCAGGAGCCTCCAGCAGCACCTCCCCCTGAAGACGTGGACCTGCTGGGCCTGGATGGCAGCCCCATGAGCAAGAGCTTTCCCTCGCAGCCCAGCGCTGCTCCCTCTAACTCTGAGCTGCTGAATGATTTGTTTGGGGTCGGAGGGCCGAGCTGCCAGAGCCCTGCTGGAGCTGGAGCTGCTGCTGCTGCTGCTGCTGCTGCTGAGGAGGTTTTCCATGTGGGGGCACCTGGATCTGTGCAGTCGACCCCGCGACGCTCGGCAGCTTCAGCGTCCCCGTCCCCGTCCCCGAGGGTAGGAGAAGGTAATGGTGGCTTTATTAAAAAAATATAATAGCAATACTCTATAAATGACTCAGTAAATTCACATTATACAATCAATGTATCGGCAATAAGTGTTTGAGGAAGTTAACACTTTTGAAACATTTGTGTATCAAGGAAACAGAGCAAAAATTTAAATGGTTTGATATTAATAACAATCATTATTTTTTGATGTTACCTCTAGAAGACAAAAACAGCAGAGACTGTAATGAAAAACAGAACTTTTGATGGAATTGATGATATAATGAACTGCATCCCCCTCTAGGTGGAGGGACTTGGGCTTGGAGGATCCCTCTGGGGGGTCTTGGCTACCTCCTTTTCAAGGAGGGGATCCCAAGAGGCCCCAGCCAGCTCCTCTGCCCCAAGCTGGTCCATCCTCACCAAACCAGTCCCTGCTGGAGCACACCTGGGCTTTGGAGGCTCCTCACACCAACAACCTCAGTTTTGCTCTCATTATGTGTCCAATAGTGCCCATGAGTTTTACCAAAACTCCTCTGGGGGTTTGGGCAGACCTACAGCACTATGAACTGAATTTTTCTTTTAACTTAGGGGGTTTGGAGCTGTGAGAGTGATCCTGGACTAGGAAATAGAGGATTTCTGTTTCTTCCAAGATCAGGCTGAAGGTGTGATTGGGGAGAGGGATCTTTTGAAGGATGAAGCAGAGCAAGTGCAAAGAGAGAGGAGAAGAATCCAAGTTTCAGTGGAAGAAATTGTTCACTTGTACCTGGAGCAGGTTTCTCTTGCTGTGGCTGTTGTAGGCTCAGTCTGAGAGCTCTCACCCATGCTGGTTTTGCAGACACATCATACAAGAGGTGCAACAACAGGTCAGGAAAAAATTTAGG